CTCGCTGCTGTGCGTGTGGTGCAAAAAAATAAAAAATAAAATAGAAATTTCAGCGGAAACGCTAAAATTTTATAATGGCGCACACATGGGGCGCGGTATGAGTGCTGCCGGTGTTGCCATTGCCAGCGGCGGCTGCAGCTGCATCGGCAGCGCTGCAGAAAGTGACAATGACGTGCCCCTGCACATGCACATATTCTAGGCAAATGAAAAGAGATATTATGGGGCAAGAGATCGCCAAAGATCATGTAATTCCCAGTACTCATCAGGTCAATCACAATAGTTATCAGGAGTCTGTAAATCTATGCACAGTTCAGCCAGCCACAATCCCCATTTTGGACCATCGCGCTAAGCCTGTTATTACCTGATTCATCGCACGCCTTTTGGTCTGTCTGCTGGGACCTTTTTTGGGGCGCCGAACAAATATATAACTTGCTCCACACACTCCCCCCAAGTACCAGAGTCATATACAAAGTCCTATGTAAACAGACACAGGCGCAAATATCACTTATGTATATCCCTTTCAATATTTCATATATACCCTCGTATTTGTTGAGAGCTATCCCACCCGAGCACGCCATCGCCATCGCCCTCAGGCTAAGCCCGTGACTGGTAACTAATTTGACACTACCCCAACGGCTCCTACCCACACCCGCACCGATTCTGCTGATTTTTTCTATGTTTCTATTTATTTTTTTCATTGGGAAATGGCCTCCCACCAGTGGACGTCACCCAAAAGAACCCAGCATCCATTTTTGTCCCGCTCTCTTTTTGTAATTGCTTTGACCAGCGGCTGCAGCGGTGCAGCGTGGATGTAATTTTTTTAGATGGCTGTTTTTGTATATATTCTATAGTTGTGCATGCATTTAATTCATGCGAGGGATGATGCGAGTGCAAAATGCACTGGAAGTCGCCCTATCTGTGGTAGAGGAAAAGTGTCTGGCTTCCACTGGAATTCTAGTGGAAATTCCACCGGACCTGCCAGGACCCTGGTAAACAGGGAAGGGTACCCCAGAGCTATTCCACTTTTCACTGTCTGTCTTTACAGTGTCTCTCCCAATCGCAATTTACCTGCAGTACACCATCTACGGAGACAACTCCCCAGTCAACTTTCTAATCAAACGAAGCAAACCAAATGGCAATTTGTAGCTGCTCAAGACAACTCCAGTGCTCCGGCGACGTCTTTCAGTTTCTTTTAGCCAAACCCCTTGGCCAGTGGCAGTGGCATTCAGCATTGGCTATTGAAAAGACAACCACATGAATAAGAGGAAAACGTAGAAATTTTCCATTAATTAAAACGATACAAGGAACAGATGGAGATGGAGATGGATATGGAGATGGAGGGAGACCTTGGCTGGACAAAGACAGTGGACAAAGACATTTTTGTGAGTCCACAGCTGAGACGGAAACGGAACTACTCCGTCGGGAGTCTTTGGAACATGACATGAGGTCTCGGGGATGTGGGTTGCTTTCGGGACTCGTTCCCTCTTCCTCTCTCAGTCTCGACTGAGCTCTTTTTGCATGACTTAAGCTCGGGGGCTCATCCAGGGCAACGGCAACCTTGACTTTGCCCGCAGCAGGCATGGGCGGGAAGGTCCTTTCTTTGCAAGTAATTTGTTCTGAGGCTGACAGCAGCCCACCAGCAGGCGTATGAGTAACACCTGCAAGGCAGAGCAGCTCTCGCACCCACCCGAATGCATGGGGCTATAAATCCTAGCATTTATTTCCATTTGCCACAACATTTTCTCGACTCGTACTCGTCTCCGAGATGGGAAAGTTGCTTTTGAAGTCTCACACAAAATTGTAACCCTTTTGCGGCAGTGGGCCTGAAAGTATCAGGAAGATGAGAGAGGGAGTGTGGGGGGTAGTCGCTCTGAATGTCAGAAATATGCGGGCTTGTGGCATCTTACAAGTAAAGGCTTTGGCATCAGGACAGAAACAGGAGTAGGAGAACGAGACTGGAGTTCAATGCAGAAGGCAGCCCAAAACTAACAAACTGACGAGGTGATGGGGTGGAGGAAGAACATGTGCCTGCCCCTGCCCCTGCCCCTGCTCATGCCTGATGACTCGACTCTGACTTCGACGGCGTCTGGGCACAGGCACAGGCGCACCACTACAATGCCAACAGCCTCTAAGCACACGCATAATGAATTACCACCGAGCCAGGAATCGTTCTCTCTGTCTCCTTTCCGCCTGAGCTTGTGGCAGTGCCTGTGCCAGTGCCTCTGCCTCTGCCTCTACCAACTGCCGATGACATATTTCTCCAGACGAGGCAGCATCGCACTCCCCCTACAAACGGAGCGCCTAAAAGGCAGCTAAGAAAATTTGCGTTTAACTCATAAGTGCGTGAAAGGGTTGCCAGACCCCTGCACCCGACTCTAGCAGCCCCCATCCCCCTTCACAGCCCAGAGTAGAGTAGAGTCCTAAGTCCCAGGCAAGCAAAATCCTTTGCCATGGGGCTGCCTCTGTTCCCTGTCAAGGAAATTGTAGTTTAAATGAAATGGAAGTTGCTTTTATCAACGGGGTAGGCGGAAGGTTGCGGGGGCTTAGGTTCTCGGATTGGGGTTCCCTGTCTTGGGGTTGGGTAGTGGATGAGGTTGCGTATGTGTGAGCTTTCTTAGAAGTTCGGTTTCTACATGTGCCTCAGTGTCTGTGTGTGTTTTTGTGTGTGTGTGTGTGTGTGGTTGTCGTATATAAATTAAAATGCCTAAACATATGCATTAGTTTTTGTCTCACTCTCTCACTCCCACTCTGGCCCTCATGTCAGGCAGTCCTTGGCTATGTTCTATGGGGGTTTGGGGGTATCTCGAAAGTTTTTGTGGTTACGACATTGGTTTTCGGGGGAGGTGGATGCTTGAGACAGGCCCAGAAAGGGTCTGGGCGGGTGGCAACTGTCAGTCTCGAGTCTCAAGTCTCGGGCTTCGCTCCGCTTCGAGTCTCGGTCTCCAGTCTCGGTCTCGAGCTGTGGCCTGACAACTTAGTCTAATGAGAATTCAAATTCGAAACCCAACTACGCAATCGTGCTGAAGAAATTAAAAGAAATTGCACATGATGTGTTACGACAAGTGCTCTCTCTCTCTTGCTCTCCCTCTTCCTCTCTCTATAAGTGTGTGTGCCTATTGAACAGTATGATATGTGTGTGTGTGCGAGAAATAGAACAAATATTTGATTCACTCTCTGAGTGGGGGGTGGGGGGGGGGGGGGGGGGACTGGCAAGCACATGAAAAAAATTTTCCTGTCAAAAAGGGAAAAAAATTTTAAGTGCCTCAGGGGGGGGCCCCAAGACAAATGTTTCATA